TGAACTCTGGGCCTGGGCGCTGTCCCTCAGCTCTTCAGCTAAAGGCTGGCACTCTACCACTTGAGCCACAGTGCCACTTCCAGCTTTTTTCTTTTTTGTTTATGTGGTGATGGGGAATCGAACCCAGGGCCTCAGGCATGCAAGGCAAGCGCTCTACCACTGAGCCACCTTCCCAGCCCCATTGGGAGATGGTATTTCTATCGAACAGTTTCCCAGAGGCTGAGCTCAGCCAATCCTTGTCTCCATTTCCTTAACTTATGACTTTAGGGAAAACTATGATCACTTCTGTATTAGCCACAAAGCCCCAATCTGGGAATCTAGGTGTGACTGTACTCTGTTGCAATTGCCCAGACTAGAGGGTGAACAGAGAGGAAGGAAGGGAATACTGAGATGTGGTCATATTGAATGGACTGCATTTTTCCATGAGCTCCAATCCTGCTATAGTGTTTTTTTTGCGTGTGTGTGTGTGTGTGCGTGTGTATGTGTGTGTGTGTGTGTGTTTTACTTTTTATGGTAGTACTGGGGGCATGAATTCATGTCTTAAGCTTGCCAGGCTAGTAAGTCCCTACCACTTGAGCTACCTCCTCTGGCCATATTTGCTTCAGTTGAATTCTCAAACAGGATCTCACACATTTGTGTAGGCAAGCTGAATTAGTTAGGATTACAGAGTGATTCCGTAGGTCCATTTTTTTAAGTGAGATAACATCTTTCCAACTTTTTGTTTTGTTTTGTTTTTTGGCTAGGCTTGGCTTATTATTTGTTCACCCGGGCTAGTCTCAAACCTGGGTCCTCCTGATGTCTGCTTACCAAATAGCTAGAATTGTAGGTATGAACCCCTGTCCAGCTCACAAGTGGAATTAGACAATTGCATGAAATACAAGTCAGAAGGGATGTTTACCTCAGTAGGACAGTGTGTGATTATTATGCACAAGAATGTGGATTCCATCTCCAGCACCAAGAATGTCAGATGGCCATTCAGAGCTTACATTTAGTTGAAGTAAGGAACAAAAAGTGAGACAGGCACTGGTAGCTCACACTTGTAGTCCTAGCTACTCAGGAGGCTGAGATTTGAGGTTGTGGTTTGAAGCTAGTGCAGGCTGAAAAGTCTGTGAGACTCTTATCTACAATTAACCACCTAAAAAGTCAAAGTGGAGCTGTGGATCAAGTGATAAAGCTCAAGCCTTGAGAAAGAGTCT